TGGTGGTGGTGGTGGGGTGATGGGGTGATGGTTATGGTGGTGGTGGTGGTGGTGGGGTGATGGTTATGATGGTGGTGGGGTGATGGTTATGGTGGTGGCGGTGGGGTGATGGTTATGATGGTGATTGTGGTTGTGGAGACAATGGCTGCAATGGTAGTGGGGTGGTGCTGGTATGAGGGTGGTGATGGTAGTTTGTGATGGTGGTGGTGATGCTAATACTCATGTGGTTGTATTAGTTTTCTAGAGCTCTGTCAGAGTTCTGGAGACTCCAAGATCAAGTGTAGGCCCAGGGCAGGACAGTCCCAGGCCTTGCTCCTTGCTCTGACACCTCACTGGTGTCCTCCATCGGCACAGGGCTGCCTTTTCCTTGTGTCCTCCTCTGCATCTGATGCTCTTCTGTGTGGAAGGACAGTGATCTTGGTTGGGACCCACAAGGTGACACATTTTAACTTAATCACTTCTGGAAAGACTTATTTCCAAATAAGGCACAATCTGAAGTTCCCCGGCTAGGACTGTACCCTCTTTAGGAGGCACCTTTCTTGCCAGTTCAGTGATGATGGGACCCTTGAGGCCCTGGGGGTGACAGCCACAGGGATGGCAAGGGCAGACAGTCTTGGCTGTGGACCTCAAGTTCCTGCAAGTGCTGCTTGGGGCGCAGTGGTTTTGGGGTACAGTGGTCAATCTCCACAGCTCTCTAGAGGTCGACAGGACTGCCCTACAGGATAATGGGGGGTGTATACCTTCTTCTCAAAGTTCTGCCATTTGCCAGCTGCAAGGCCTAAGGCCACCTTCTTCTCCTCTGCCCTCAGGTTGAGACCTGGTGGTATGGACTAACTGGGCCCTAGGGTGCTTCCTCACAGGGCAGGAGTTGGAGCTGGCCCAGGACAGGGCAGGGTGCCGGGGTGAGGAGAGAGAGGAGGGCACTTTTCTGTCTCTCCCTTCTTCCTGCCTTCTCTGGTTGGCCATGGTCACATGCAAGCACTTGCTGCTTTTACACACAGCTATGCTGGTCCTTGGCTCCTCCCGGCTGCCAGCAGCTACCCTGAGGGTAGAGACTGGTGATCTGCAAATGTTGAGTCACCAGGAGCCCAACCTGGTCCTCCAAAGTGCAGAGGGAAAATGGATCGATTTGTTGCTCATACATCCCTTTCTTACATTTCCATCTGGGCTCAGTGGAGGCAGCCTTGCTGTTGAATGGGCTCCATCATCACCAGATCCCCTGTGCCCCAAGGAAGCGGGCAGACAGCAGCACCAGCCTGGCTGGCCTTGCCTTTCTTTGGCAACCCGCTGTGCCTGGTAACCATAGCAGCAGAGGTCCAAGTCCTGTGATGGCGAAAGCCCCTGGTCTTTTCGGCAGAAGGAGGGCCAGGTTAGGCTGCAGTTGTTTTTCTCTTACTAACTAAATAAAATTGCCCTGGGTCCCCCCTCCTCCACCTCCCTCCAGCTTCCAGGAGCAATAAACGATGTGATAGCCGTCACCGCTTCCTGTGTCCCAGCCATATTGATGCGCACAGACTCTTGCCAGGAACTCCTCTGTGCACCAGGAGGCAAAGTTGGGATGTCTTCGAGGCTCACATCCTGCGGAAGACTAGACTGGCGATGCAGACCAGCACTAAGCTCCAGGGAGGCACACAGGCCAGAGAGGGCATTCCTGAGGGGCTCTACCAGAGAGCCGGGGCTCAGGATTTGGAAAGGGAGGGGAGCTAAACTCGGTAAAGTGAAAAAGAAAGAGAATTCTGGGGAAGGCTGGGAAGAGAAGTCCAGGGCAGGGACAGTGGATGCAAAGGCCCTGAGGTGGGCCTGGTACCCTGTATGTGTTTATGTGTGTGCACATGCGTGCGTGCGTGCGTGCGTGCGTGTGTTTGTGTACCACCACATGCGTGCGTGTGGAGGCCGGAGGCTGACATCCTGTGTCTTTTTCCACTGCTCTCCACTTTATTTGACCGGGTCTCTCCTTGAGTTTGCAGTTAGGCTAGGCTATCTGGTCAGCAAGTTCCTGGTCAAAGATGCCTGTCTTCATACCCTCCCCCAGTGCTGGATTACAAGAGCACACCGCTGTG